CCCCCAAAGCCCCAGTAGATAGTTGTATGTCATAGCTGCACATCCTTCTAGTTGCTGTATGTGGGACGCGGCCTCAGCATGGCCGGAGAAGCTGTGCGTCGGTGCATGCCCGGGATCTGAACCCCGGCCGCCAGCAGCGGAGCGCGCGCACTTAACCGCTAAGCCACGGGGCCGGCCTAAAAATGGTTTCTAAACATCCATCAGTCTCTTGAAATTTCATTAAAAGCAAAACCCTGTGATTTTCAAAAGGATTCGTCATCCAATCAAGACTCATTCAGTCTCTTAATAACTATACATAATTTCAAGTTCCCTTTGTTTGACGGTTTGGAAACGTTTACACCCTGGGGCAATGCTAAGATTTGAGATGACTAAGAGATACAGAATACAGTACTTATGGAAGCTGAGTATCTAGAAATATCCTTAAAACTATCCCTGCCTACCTTAACTCTTGAAAAGTCTTCAAGAAAGTGGTGGAAGAAAAGGAGCTAACCTAAGTAACTTTGAGAAATGGTGTTTTGACTGGAAACTGTAAGAGTAAAGACAATAGGAACAATCCATAAGCTCTGTAGTTGGGAAATTTGTTTCACATAGGAGTATGGGTTAATAATTTGGAAACTACTTGGCACGTATACTGGAGTTGAACAACTAAGTAAGTGGATGGTGGATGCTGGAAGGCAAGTTTCTCCATCAGAGAGAGAAGCTACAGAAAAGCAAGAGGGGAAGCTAGAATAAACTCTGTGGTACTGGAGTAGAGTCCAAGACGTCAGTATGAACCCATGCTTAGCTTAATATACACAAAGATTGAGACATAAAGAAACGACTACAGATGTGTGTGTGTACACACATGGTAGTATACAGATATATCCTAGCCTAGTCTGTCTCTCAGCCCTGCTGAGAGGGCTACAAGCAGTGACACCCCAGTAATAATAAGCATACCCAGCACCCAAATCCTGGTTTCTAAACCAATGAAAGGAACCAGGGCTCCTTGGAGAACCGGCTGATTCTGCGGCTGGAGCAGAAATGGTAAAAGATGAGCCTAGACCATCTTCCTGTAGTGCCAGAGAGTAAGGACGTGCTCAAAACACAAAAGGATGAGGGCACGTCAAAGGGACAGGAGCCAACCTGAAACAACTCCCAATGGCCAAAGCCACAACAATTTAAGCAACAAAACAAATGACATAGTACTGGATTATACCCCCCCGGAGGTAGAGCTTAATTCCTCTCCATTTGAGTACAGGCTGGACGTAGTTACTCCCTTAGAGTGAAGAGAGCACGGAAATGGAAAATTAGTGACTTTACAGTGGGGAACCTGGCAGACAGTGCCTTCACCAAGTGATCACGCCATGTTGAGATCATATACCCCCTGACACAAGGTGATGGGAAGGGCATTTCACCTCTGTAGTATTCTTCCCCAAACTCCTTAAGCTCAGTCACATCATGAGAAAAACAGATAAACTCCAATTGAGGGACATTCCACAAAATACCTATCCAATACTCTTCAAAACATCAAGGTCTTGAAAAATAAGAAAAGACTGAGAGACTGTCAGTGACAAGAGGAGACTAAAGATGACCAAATGTCTAAGTGTAAATAAAGTGTGTAGGGGTGAGGGATCTATACCACAGTTTTTGCATGTTAAGATAAAAGAATTGTTTAAATCTTTAAAAGATGTATGTTATTCCATATTTCAGCAGATCCTTAGTAATGATCCTACTGCAGTTTCACAACTATTTCACCCATTCTTCACTTGAGTATTGTTCCCTATATCAGGTCAGGCTTGCGCTATTTCCATACTTGCCCCTGTGGGATCCCTGAGAGGAGGCTATTTCTTCTTTAGTAAAATATTCTCACCTCCCTAAAGCATCACAGTATTAAATGACAGGACTCAGCACAGGTGTGTCATGGTGACCCATACCTGTTGGGATCCCCCTCCCCCTCATTAGCAATAGTTTCACAACACTCTCTAGTTTCTGATACTTCCCATATCAACTCATCTTTGGCTCTATTTCTTTCTTGTGTACAGGACTGCCAACTTCTGACAGGATCTGTGGCCCACCCACCCTGCCCACAACTGATCCTCCAAGCTGGGCTCTGTGCATCCTGTGAGGGATGGGCTGTATTTAAGGATGCCTGGTAGCTGGTGAAGATCATTGATCACTACCCAAAAATAGGTCTTACTGAAAAATCGCACACATTATTTTAATTAAATATATTCAGATCCTCAAACCTTTAGGAAATGTAAAAAGAGTTAGATAGTAATAAACACAAATCATAACAATGCAAATAAGAACATTATGGGCTGCTGTAATGGTCCATGGTCAGCATCCCTGTGAGCTAGGCATTATTATCTCCATTTTATAGTTAAGGAAATTCGGGCTCTTGGAGGTTAAATAATTTCCCACAGTCACACCAACAGTACATGGTAGCATCCCATTTCTGTTCTATCTGACCACAAAGCCCAAAGCTCATTCCCATTATCCTATGCCTTCTCCTCTGAGTTCAAAAACTCACAGTTCTAGATTTTTTAAACCTCGTGATACTAATCTGGAACAATTTTAAATATTCACAGTTTCTCCCTCTTCAAACTGTTTCCAAAGGAAAATATACATTTCGTGAGTTAATTATTATCCAAACATTAACTCCTCATTTGAAACATCTACTCAATGTGACTAAGAACGTTTCCTTCAGCATTATCCATCAGACACCTTGCCAGCCAGCTCGCTGCTTCAGTTCTGACACCCAGTCAAGGTTGTCATCTTCTTCCTCAAAGTCCCTGTGAAAAAACAATTTGGATATTAAGCCTCCATATGAGGAGCACAGTAAGTATCTGTTGATGGATTCAAAGCAGAATGCCAACATAACAACGTTACATTTTTGAAAAATGAGCTCCATAAGGTATTTGAACAGAGAAAAAAAATGTTCCTCTTCCAAAAGATCACTTCTTTCACTCTTTCTATAACTTTTTCAATATAAAAGCTAGTATACTAAAAAATAATATGTCCAAGCTGAAAGATTATAAACACATGGCTCAGTTAGGAATTCTGTGATAATATTGTAACTCATTACCCACCCCAGACAAAAGATCAATATATAAATATTCATTCATGATGTAAAGTAATATAAGCAGCTTCTAGTAAACCTGAACTTATTAAGGTATAATTTAAATCACACACACGCCAACTAAAGCTTTCTACGTATATCACAACATACGTGTCCTCCTCATCCAGCCTAGGTTCGAGTCTCTCTGGATCCAAAATGACAGAATCGTGACCTCCATCAACGTTGTCTGATGTTTCTGTTTCTTCAGACAGGGGGCCTTTCAAGAACCCTTCTGACCCTTCAGAGGAATATTAACAGAAATTATGCCAATTTAAACAGTATTTACTTATTTCATGCATGTTGGACTAAAACCCTTCAAAAGTTTGCTGTCTAATTGAGGACAATGCCATCTTCTAGATTTCTTTTGTAGTGCCTCCCCGTACCACCCAGCATGATTTCTGGCACGAAACAGGCCCAATAAGCATCAGTATGTGTTTTAAATTTTAAAATAATACTTTCTTCAAAAGAAAAAATTCAGAAAATTACAATTAAAACCCTCAAATATAAGAACCTATATTAAAACATTAAAAGTTATCTTTGAATAGTAGGATTACAGTTTTCTTTTTTTTCCTTTGAGCTTCTCCCACCCCTAAGTTTTCCCAATGGAGGAGAATAAAATTAGGAAATTAAAGAAAGATTACATGCAGGCTTTTAAAAACTTTCGAGATGGTAATTACTTTTGGATGTTTGCTTACAAAACAATAACCTAACATAACAATGTGGGCTAAAGCTTTACAAAAATCCTTTCAAAATAGAGTTATGATATATTTTTTAAACAGTGACTTTTCTGAAATGTCGAAAACTTCATCATTAGACCAGAAACAAAATCTAGGACCTAAAATGGCTAAATCAAAATTCACAGCCATTAACCTTCCTCAGACCTTCCTCCTGTGCATCACCTTATCCTCGGGGCTCCTATAAGAGTCTGCGCACAGCTCTTTCAGAACACATGGTACACAGCTAAAACTCTCTACTTGTGTGCTGGTTTCTCAGATGAAAAACTCCTTCAGGGAAGAAATTGTGTTTTATTCTTTTTTTTTTATCTTAACCTAACATGTTAGGGGCTCAATAAATTCTGACCAAATAAACAAATACAGCTAAATCTGTTCCAGTAAATACAGTCGAGACTTGCCATCTCATTGTATGCTCTTCTCGATATAATTTATCTTAAATCTGAACCTAGCAAGATGGCTTTAGTAACCAACTGAATTATCAAAATTATACACACATGCACACACACACAAATGTACACACCCTTAATGCAGTCCTTTGGCCTAGATTCCTAAGGATAGTATTATAAAAGGTTACTTTGTACAATTTTAGTGAAAATGTCTGTGGAAACAGTAAAAAAACATAAAATCCTAATTGTTCATCTTTTATGAGCTCTTTTCAATATAAGAGAATTCAACTATACTGCAAAAGAAATCTTGAAGTTTGTCTAAATTTATTATGATGAAGTCTGAACCAAAGAGTCACTGAAGCAATGGTGTATTTGATGGTAAAAATGGGCTACTCTTCAAACAGTCATCACATGATTGTTAAAATAAGCAAACAAATGAGCAAACAGAAGTAATGAAGTGATATGGGAAAACTTAATTATAGCTTAAAACTAGCTAGAAAAGATTCAAGAAAACCTAAAAATATAATGCTATGAATTATTTTATAACTTTAAAATCAAAGAGTTTCCAGGAGGGAGAAATGGAGAGTTATTATTTAACAGGTACAGAGTTTCAGATGTGGAAGATGGAAAAAGTTCTGGAGATGGATGGTGGTGATGGCTGCACAACGTGAATGTACTTAATGCCTCTGAACTGTACACTTAAACATGGTTAAAATGGTAAATTTTATGTTATATATCTTTTACCACAATTTTTAAAAAATCAAAGTGTTTCCACAGTTATGTAATAGACACAAATCACCTGGTCTATAGATTGTATAAGTTTGAAAGGCCAAGCTGAGATCAGCATTCTTAAGCATGTTCAACAAGGTTTCTGGAGTTTCTTTGAGCCACTGCTTACGGGGATTATTTTCACTGTACTTTATTACAGAACCACCTAGTTGTGAAAAGATAAAAATTAGTGCCAAATAAAAAAGATTTTCAGCATCTATCTTCCAGATCATATTTCAAAGTTAATTATATTTCACTCTCTACTAAAATCTATTTCACTCACCTGTATGAGCACCACTCTGATGTGTGACACCAAATGTCTTGCACAGAGTGACATTTAAAAAAACCAAAAAAATCTCTAGCCCATTAAACAACTATTAGAAAATGTTCTACAATAAAATAATAGTATTCGATCTAACTACTAACCTCTATCATCCTTTGCTGTTAAACTGGAGGTGAGTAAGGACGCATTTTCCAAAGCTGTCAGAGCTGTACTGGAGACATTTTTCTCCCACTGTCGCCTGAGATGACCTGGTGAACTGGCTGTCCTCGGCTGGACTGATCTATTATCTGATTTCAAAATGTAAAAAAGGATTGCTAAGGGTATTATCTTATTTATTCGTCTATATCCACACATATTAAGGACAGCTGATCGTTGGTGAACAGTACAGAAGTATTTCTCTAACAAAATACAGAAGTATTTCTTTTCTCTTTCTTTCTTTTTTTTTTTTTTTAAAGATTTTATTTATTTTTTTTTTCCCTCCAAAGCCCCGGTAGATTGTTGTATGTCATAGCTGCACATCCTTCTAGTTGCTGTATGTGGGACGCGGCCTCAGCCACGGGGCCGGCCTCTCTTTCAAATTTAGATATAAGAACAATGTCCTTTCAAGTCTAAGTAGTAAAGGAAATGAAAAAAAAAATCCAAATGAAAAGGTAAAACTAATCACTCAAGTGAAATTTAAGAACAATACGGGGGCCGGCCCCGTGGCTTAGTGGTTAAGCGTACGCGCTCTGCTACTGACGGCCCGGGTTCGGATCCCTGGCGCACACCAACACACCGCTTCTCCGGCCATGCTGAGGCCGCGTCCCACATACAGCAACTAGAAGGATGTGCAACTATAAGATACAACTATCTACTGGGGCTTTGGGGAAAAAAAGGAGGAGGACTAGCAATAGATGTTAGCTCACAGCTGGTCTTCCTCAGCAAAAAGAGGAGGATTGGCATGGATGTTAGCTCAGGGCTGATCTTCCTCACAAAAAAAAATAAAATAAAATAAAATAAAGAACAATACGTATATACTTACATATTATGCAATGTACAAGAATAAAGCCCCGAGAAGACTTAGATACACACTGTATGCCATGCTTTTTATGGTGGACAGCACAACAAATACTATTTTTTCTAAAGCCTCTTATTAATAAACACTCTTTTCTCTTTTTTTATGGGTAAATAAAATATTCCTGTACCATTAAATAAATTACTGGATAAGCAAACAAAAATCTGCCTGCCCACTTGCTTATGACACCTACAACCTAGTAAGGTGAAAATTGGTATTCCTTCTATACTCCCCAACTCCCCACCTATACAATGGTTAGAATTTGAATAACTTACCCTTCTCTTCTCTGTTTACTCTCCTCAATGCACTTTCAACCAAATTTTGATTAATGCTTTCTAAATCTGTGTGGCTACACTTTCTACCTTGTTCTTCCACTTGCTATAAAAGAGATTAAAAATACAGATTAAATATGCTTGAATTGCTGCAAAAAAGGTAAACAAGTATGCAAAGTCAGCTATTTTAATTTTAAATAAAGATTAATGAATTTAAAAACTTAATAGGGGCCGCCCCAGTGGTGCAAGCGGTTAAGTGCACGCACTCCTCTGGGGCAGCCCGGGGTTCGCTGGTTCGGATCCCGGGTGCACACGGATGCACCACTTGTCAGCCCATGCTGTGGCAGGCGTCCCATATAAAGTGGAGGAAGATGGGCATGGATGTTAGCTCAGGGCCAGTCTTCCTCAGCAAAAAGAGGAGGATTGGCAGATGTTAGCTCAGGGCCGATCTTCCTCACACACAAAAAAACCCAAAAAACAAACAAACAAACAAAATAATAAAAACTTAATAACCACAGAACCCCATACATACATGTATATTAATAGCCATATACACCATAGATGTCTGTGTATATTAAAAGCCACATAATATGCATATATGTATATTAATAGTCATATACGTTACTAGCCATTAATATCATTGCAAATATGAAAAGGATACATAAAAATGACAGAGATATTTAAGAGGTCTTTATAGAGGAAAGGAGTAATAAAACATTTCAACATGGTTTGCTATACTGGGCTTTTCATGCTGGATATATCAAAATATTTTATAGTTATTATATATAGTCAAAATGTTCCCACTTAATTTGGCATTTTTCCAAATTATCTAAGCTCCTGATTTCATGCAGTATAGTAACACTATCTAGTCTTTACTAAATCTGCATATATTGTGAGAAGAAATACACATCCAGGGCCTAGACAGTCTCCAGCACATAGGTTCTCAATGATATGTTGAATGAATACATATATTAAACAGCAGGCCATAGCTGGCACATTGTTTTCTTATTTCTATACAATGGTTCTCAAACTTCCCTCCGCACACATCTAGGGGCCGTGATTTCAAAGGTCCTCCCATGGACAAAGTCGTCAGAATCTTGGAGGGATGGTGGTGATGAGCAGTTTAAAAGCCCTCAGGGGATTCTGGTCTCTCGTCCCCACTGAGAGTCACCGGTCTGCAGCAGCCTCCACACTACTCCTGGCTCAGCACCACTCCGTGATGCCTTCTTGCCTGTCACACCTTGCCGGCCTGCCCACGACTCTCTCCTACCTCAACTCTTCTGTTACCTGACTTCCTTGTTAGTTCTTTCTCCATTCTGTTTACATATCACACTCACACCCTTTTTACGGTGGAAACACTGACGTTTCCACTATAGGTGGTATTAAAGTTGTAGTGGTGGCTGCCTGGGACAGGAGTCGTGATTGTCTGCAAAGGGCCACGAGGACACTTTTCAGGGCGATGAGATTTCTATAACTGGATTGTGGTGGTGGTTATATGACTGTATAAAATTACCAAAATTAAATTAAAAATGAAGAAACAAACAAAAGAAATGGCAATCTAAAGTGGCTCAGCTGGCAGTGCAGGACGACAGCTACCCACCCAGGACTTCATGTGCCAACAGATGAAAAACCACTGGACTGGAGGGACCAGGTCAGTCTTCCAAATATCCCACAGCATCTAATGGTACTGGGTACCCACTAGATGGTTGTTTTATAAATTTAATTTTAAAGCACTTACCATTGTGCTTGCTTCATTTTCCAAAGCTACCCTGCTTCTGCTGGGGTCTGTTAAAGAGAAAAGAGAAGGCAGAAAGAGAAAGTCTCCTAATGTGATTTGCATAAAGCTTGAGAGACAAATGAATTAAAGTCAAAGAAGCAAAGTATTAGCCTGAATATGACACTAAGCTTTAATCGCCTAGCAATACACCTCAGCTGTTAAAAGAGGCTGTTTCTGCTATTTTATTCCTAACGTTAACATCTGAAAGTTAAGACAGCTCTATTCACTTATGCCCATTTAGGCACTAGGAGGTAAGACACTCCATACTCAGAAGGTCATTATCACTTGAGTACAAGCCAGCTACTGAGTCTGTGCTTTTCCTGACAACTATTATCGCAGGTGGAATAGGTTTCCCTCACAAGGGACCAGCAGCAGTTAGGGAGAACTCTGACAACCCGCCCCTTTGGTAAGGACGGCTCCTGCCTGATTTTCCTGTGGCAGAGCTCTGCAGTCCATGTTCCTCATTCGTTCCACATTTTTTAAAAAATTGCTATTGAGTATCTATGACGACAGGCACTAAGGATACAACGGTGAGCAAATCAGATGTGGTCCCTCCCTCACATAGCTTTCACTGTTCTGATCTCACTGTCCACAGACTAGATGGAGATGCCACCAAACACATGGTCCCAATATGGTGGCACTTCTCCGCTGCTTTATTCCTCTCTTTTTAGAAATTGCAGAACTCCACTTTTCCAAACTATCTTGAAACTTTTCTTAGTCTGTTTGTGTTGTTGGCGCCCAGCATTTTAAAACTAATTTCCGACTACCCTGGGATATGAACAAAAGCTAGAAAACAGTATCTAAAGTAAAATTAACACTAAAACAAACTGCTGAAACAAGGGGAACTGGCTATCTCTTACGTAATAAAGAAAAGGCTGAATAATAAGACTGAAAGGTTTACATCACTAGAAGCGTTTACATTCTTACAAAAATAACATTTAAAATTTAACTTTAAGAAAACAGGACTGTTTTCAAAATGTTTCTTTTTGTGTGTGTGTGCGAGGAAGATCAGCCCTGAGCTAACATCCATGCCAATCCCCCTCTTTTTGCTGAGGAAGACCGGCCCTGGGCCGGCCCCCTGGCTTAGCGGTTAAGTGCGCGCGCTCCGCTGCTGGCGGCCCGGGTTCGGATCCCGGGCGCGCACCAACGAACCACATCTCCGGCCATGCTGAGGCCACGTCCCACGTACAGCAACTAGAAGGATGTGCGACTATGACATACAAATATCTACTGAGGCTTTGGGGGGAAAAATAAATAAAAAAAAATTATTAAAAAAAAAAAAAAAGACCTGCCCTGAGCTAACATCTATTGCCAATCCTCCTCCTTTTTTTTTTTTCCGTTTTTCTCCCCAAAGCCCCAGTAGATAGTTGTATGTCATAATTGCACATCCTTCCAGTTGCTGTATGTGGGACGCCGCCTCAGCACCGCCAGACAAGCAGTGCGTCAGTGCGCGCCGGGGTTCCAAACCTGGGCCGCCAGTAGCAGAACACGTACACTTAACTGCTAAGCCACGGGGCCAGCCCCCTCGAAATGCTTCTTTTGTAGAATATAATACTAGGATAATGAGCACCAAACTGTGGAGGTTTAGCAACATGTCCCAACAGTGGATGATCTATACTTCTTAACTCTTCCCTCTTATTTTGTTCACATCTACTATCTTTGTTGGATCTCTTCAGATGGAAGATCTGTCATTGACGACAGATAAAAAGGAACAAAAATAGCTTTGAAAAAATGAAGAGCTGACAACCTCAAAAGAGACAATAGGGGCCGGCCCCGTGGCGCAATCGGTTAAGTGCGCACGCTCTGCTGAGGTGGCCTGGGGTTCGCCGGTTGGGATCCCAGGTGCGCACCGATGCACCACTTGTCAGGCCATGCTGTGGCGGCATCCCATATAAAGTGGAGGAAGATGGGCACGGATGTTAGCCCAGGGCCAGTCTTCCTCGCAAAAAAAAAAAAAAGAGAGAGAGAGACAATAAATTACATCTGGAATTTGCTCAGGACAGACTATAGATGTATGGAAATTTTGTGCAGCTATCATGTGGACAGTTCCAAACTTTCAAAAAGGCTCTATTTTTAAAAATTTTTTTACAAGGCGGTTCTCCAGAAACTTGGGGATACAATTTCCTATAAGATGAACGTTATAATTTCATGGTTAGATTCCTAGGCCAGGCCACAGGAGCCTTGTACCTGACCCATCACAAACTAATAATGAAACCAAGAACAATCTTTACATCACTAAAATCTCCAAAGTAGGCTTTTTTTGATCCCTGGCAAACTAAATGTGATAAGATTCAGTACAGAATCATGCCTGAAGTAACAAAAAGAAAATTATGATTTGAGGAATATCTCCGAAAATCATCTCTAATAACTTGAAATTGTATTTTTCTCTGTTTTTTAATTTAAATTTAAATTACATTTTAAAAGAACACAACAAAAAATAAGCTTTCCAAAATTCTTACCCCTTTTTCTTGGTGTACTATGCTTAGATTCTTTGGTTTCTTCTAATATCTGCTCACCATATTCTGTGATGATCTAAAAATTTTAAGTAGAGAATTTAAAGATGTGAAATACATTTTTCTTTAGACACTGCCATGTCATGTAATTATCCATATTCTTCTCCACAGTATTTAAAGTTGAAAGGTAAAAATGCCATTTAAAAAACACATGTAATTTAGACAGATAGACAAATAGACATTTTTATGTATGTCTAGAAAAAGATCTGGAAGGATAGGCAAACTACACCTGTGATCAGACTTGGGGAATAGCATCGTGGAAGAGAGAAGAAGAGAGAGAGAAAGTTCTAACTTTTTATTTTTTGTATATAGTTCTGCATTATTTGAATTTTTACAAGCATGTAATTGTGTTTAAAAGATAACCGTTTTATCACACACTGGAAAACTGTTCACAGTCAGCCCAGCAGGTGTCATACCTCCGGGGGTAAGCACTTCTGGATGAGCCTGGACACAGTGCCTCTAGAGAGAAGGGTGGTAGCTGAAGGACGATGTGAGGGATTCCTCTTAAACATCTGCTTGATGAGATGCTGAAGCTCATAGGAATAACGAGATGGCAGGGGGCTCATGGACCCCTGACATATTTTGAGGATAAGACTTTTCCAACTATTTGCCTGAAACTAAAAAGTAAAATTGAACTGTAAGAGCAGATACGAGGAAAGAAAATGAAAAGAAGAAGATACCAGCTGAATTGAATTGATATGAATGATTTTAAAGATTTTATTTATTTATTTTTCCCCCAAAGCCCCAGTACATAGTTGTCTGTCATAACTGCACATCCTTCTACCCGCTGCATGTGGGACGCGGCCTCAGCATGGCCGGAGGAGCGGTGCCTCGGTGCGCACCCGGGATCCGAACCCGGGCCGCCGGCAGCGGAGAGCACGCACTTAACCGCCAAGCCACGGGGCCGGCCCAATATGAATGATTTTAATTTTATAAATGGATCTGCTACCTGGTCATTTTTCTTCCTAGTGGTGTCCTTCAGATACTATCCTAAAATCTGAAGGTGGTTCAGGAGAAAGGTAAACATAAATAGTGAAAAACTTCACCATCTAGACAGTCTCACATCAATGCCTGCTTTAGGTATTTTATAAGTCATAGTCAGTGTTTTGGCAGATACATTTTTAATATATTTAAAAAATCAGGGCCGGCCCCGTGGCTTAGCGGTTAAGTGCACGCGCTCCACTGCTGGCGACCCGGGTTCGGATCCTGGGCGCGCACCAATGCACTGCTTCTCCGGCCATGCTGAGGCTGCGTCCTACATACAGCAACTAGAAGGATGTGCAAACTATGACATACAACTATGTACTGGGGCTTTGGGGGAAAAATAAATAAATAAAATAAAATAAAAAAATCAAAGTAATACATACATATGGCTTTTTAAACAGTCAAATGATACTAACAGGCTTATAATAAATGTAACACTCCTTTGTTTCACTCCTCCTCAGAAATCCTGCTCCCGGGTAATGCGCACTTTAGACATTTCCAGTTTTAAACTTCCACTGCAAAATCCTTTTTACCTTTCACGTCATCAAGGTAGTCATTAAAATTTGACAATAACAGAGTGGGATACAAAATGACACCAGAATAACATTTAAAAAGTTTTCACTGCATAATAAACACACTGGCATTAACAGTAGATGTCAGCCCTGGTAATATGTATTTAGAACATGTTGGCATTCAGCCTTGGAAGAGCATTACCCTATTAATAAAATATACAAGTGAAGCTATGAAAAAGGAAAAACCAATATATAACAAAGGAAAAATTCAGGTAACAAAAAATAAGATTGAATCTGCTTTGTCTCAGGCTTTTTACCCATTATACCAAGTTTCTGCATTTCCTAAAGGTTCTCCTTAAAGCAAACAAGAGACAACAGATTGTGTGCCAAATATTTAGGACACTATACTCCTTAATACTTACTCTAGGAAAAAATATTTTTCTTACTAGAAAAATTTTTCTGGGGCCGGCCCAGTGGCGCAGTAGTTAAGTGTGTGCTCTCCGCTTCGGCAGCCCGGGTTTCGCAGGTTCAGATCCCGGGCGCACACCGACACACCGTTTGTCAAGCCATGCTGTGGTGGTGTCCTATATAAAGTAGAGGAAGATGGGCACGG